TAGCTTTCAGAACAGCATATCATAACAATAAAATCCTGTAAATTTTCCACCAGAAAAAAATTTCAGTAGATAAACACTACATTACATTACCAAGTCATCTAAACTAGTAAAACATAGTTGTATTAATGTGAAGAATCATGCAGCCACCAAGCAGTGATTTTAAGGGCACTCAAAGGGATAAGCGGCATTTATTATGATGATGTCTATTCGTATTGTTATTTTAGCGGCGACAATAAGCTTAATGGTATTGTTTTATTGCTACAGGTGATCAAATCAGTTTTGATAGTAAGAAGATAATGGTGATGAGGTTAAAAAAGATGATTAAACCTAGAGAGGATATTTACTTAATCAAAGATGTTGGCCATATATTTAGATATAAGCGGATATATAATACAAAGCGAAATCAGTTGATTGATTCCTATTGTTGATTTTCTGCCTCCTATGATTGTAGTATAGTGGATATAATTAGTCAACTCGAGTTAATAACGTAAAATGGACAAAACTAAGATGAAAACTTTCCAACTGTGATCAAGAAAGTACAACGGCGATACACTGCTGCCATGCTATTGATGAAGATCAATCTATCAACGTTAAAACAAGCTACGAATTTATGACGTAACGGCATCATTTGGTTACTTATAATAACAATTTGTCATATGATCGTTAGCAATTTTCCCCGTATATATATTTTTTTAATTATAACCGATCTCTATGTATCTGTTGTGACTCATATCAAGATACTGCAGATTTTTATATACTTTACAGATAAAAAACGTTATTATTGAAAACACTACCGTACTGTAATTATTAAATAATCGCAGGAGATGATGATTATTCCAGTGCGTACTTAAAGCGATGGTCACAAGCCGCTTGGTTATAACAAATTGATCATATTTATAATTCATTACGGAAAATCATTTTTATGTATCGAAATAGAGACTAAGGCAGGTTAAGAATGACATTGAGGAACAGAGAGAGTAAAATGGTTGAACCTTCACCCATTATTACTGGTGTAAGTACACTTCAGAATAATAAAAGTCAACTATATAATGGTTATGGCCAACACTACCCTAGCAACCGGCATTATAGTGAATACGTCAAGGAAGTCAGGAAGTGGCAAGAAAGCTTTATCAAGCGTGAAAAGCAACAACTAAAAGAAAGTATAAAAAAAGTGCCATCCTGCTCAAATGATCGAATAGGTCAAGCTGATAATATTAATCAGTTTAATCGAACAGCAGCACTGAAGAGCAACTCGTATTCTTCGGTACTTTATAAAGGTAGGCTTCACAGTTTTATGCCTAGAAGCGATATTGACCGCTTGGATCCGCTCAGCCCACCTTCAACTTTAACTAATCAGAAAGAATTGCGACGTTCTATCATGGCTATGACGACACAAGGTAACCCACAATCTAATAATAACATCTCGGCTAAAAGTAATCATTACGGATCTAAAGCAAATAATTTTATGGTCCCAGTCAACCAGAGAAATGTATCTATACCCACTCTCCATTATAGTAGAGATAAAAGTAGTAAACGTCGATTATCACCTTTATTGATGATTACAAGAAGGCAGCGTCATCATAAAACTACTACTTCTACTTCGATTAAAGATCGTAAAAAAGTTAGTGATATTGAAAGTCACATCGATATGACTGTTAAATCATCTGATAAAAATCTCGATCAAGATAGGCAGCAACCGGCCAATCCTTTAACTAATGGAGAACAGGATTGTGGAACAATCACACACGATGACGAGCTAGAGGTTAATAATGGCAATTCGGATAGAAATGATGGTGACGATTCTAAAAAGAAACAGTTAGTTCAACCTG